TCTGCTTTAATATCCATGTTTGTTTCGTCTCCTTGGCAACGTATTGTTTTTCTCCCCACAATAACGTTTAACACGAGGATCAAATAGTCAACGTTTGTCCTTATAATCAAACACTAGAATATTCGTAGTTTTCGTCTTTTATCATATGACAGTGGACATAGAGATGATTCATACCTCCGCTACCAGAGGGACCTTTCCATTGTTTATAACTTTGATGTCAGTTTTATTTGTGGTGTATACTTTACATGCTTCCCACACTTACCTCATCACTGCCAGGAGTGGTTTAGCTCTACTCGACCCCGGACACACCGTTGCTCATTCAGCTTTTTCCCCCCGACGTCATAAAGTGGTTGTGTGTGCTAACAGTATCGTAAATGTTAATGCAAGGTTATGCAGGTGTCACTAGGCTCGTATGTGTGGTGGTTATTTTGATACTTTCGTCGGGAATATAAGTGACCTGGTCTTTTAAGTGATGTTGCCGACCAGGTTTGTCATTGAATTTAAAAATAATCTGGAAAGTTAATATCAGGAGAATAAACATGCATTTTTGTGGTTCCTCCAAGATTGACCTATAATTAGAATTTATCCTTTACAAAATCAACATTTAGAGGATGACTAGACTTTGTGTGTGTGCCATTGGTGAAACAGCTTGTCATCTGTTTGCGGTAGACCGTGGCAGTTTGACCTTCCTTCCTTCCTTTAGAATCCACGATATTTGGATAACTCTTCTGTACCTAGCCGTAGGGTGTAAGGAATGCCGAGTAATGATTGTACAAAAGCCACGTGTTAATATGGCGTTGAAAAGAGTGGTAATATTTGATGCCATACAAGGTTAGGGTATTCATAGGATGTTTGCTTCTCCACTAGGTTATAGCTCTATTAAGTGTTAAGTTAAGGTAGCACTTGGGTGTTAGTGCAGTACGAGGTTTTGTTAATATTAGTCTTTTTGATGTAGCCATTGCGGGGTCTTGGTAGGCTACTATAGTTATTGGGATATTTTGGACTATATTCGTGTATAAAAAAAAGTACTGTATGTACTGTCAATATATTTCGGAAAGTTTTTTATTATGGTTAATATAAAATTTCTATATTGTCGTCGTATTATTACTAGATATTTGAGTATTTTAATTGAAACTTAGTCCAGCACACTATCTCTTAAAACCGTCAAATGCTCTTATAGGTTAAGGAGTGCGTAACGATAAACAGGCGTGTCCCCACTCACTCCACCCAGTGTACAGTGTAGTGTTATTGGTGAGAGAGAGAGAGAGAGAGAGAGAGGATCCGCCTTGTTTACGCTTGACCACTGCTGCTACTCATGCAGGAGGAAGGGTGGGGGGGGGAGGGTGCAGATATCCTTGTCCACAAGCACGCACACGCTCAGACATGCATGCGCGCGCACACACACATTTATCTCTCTCTCTCTCTCACTCGGGATATAAACAAGCTCAACGTAGGAGACTTCGAGCAATAAACAAGAGTAAACCGTAGTTGGAGATAAACTTTGGGAGTTACGTAAGGACCTGAGTGAGAGTGACACGAGGAAGAACTGGGACCTTCCTTGGTAGAACACGTTATAGCTTTAGCAAGAGCAGGAGGCACACACACACACACCATCGTCTGTGACCCCGAGAGATTGTTGGGAAAGATTAATAGATGATAATATGAAGACATAGATGTGGACGACGTGTAGTACAAACTCAACGAAGTGGGTGTGTGCTAATGCAGAATATATTATACGTTGTTTTAATTAGAATAAATAAAATTAATTAGTTGCCACACACACACACACACCCACCCACTATGCATTTCGCTAACCATTACCGGTAGCCACTTTGGTTGGTGCACATTGGTGGGTAAGGTTAAGACAGACAGACACATTTTGTTACCTTGTCCCTATACGTAGGTGACTTGTCAATTGTAGGCGGAGTAGACAAGGTGCTAACACTAGCCTCAGGGTCTTGTTCATGTTGTGGTTTGACTTGTTCTTGTGATGTAGATTTTCAGTTACGTCTTGGGTTTTATGTATACTGTATAGAGAGATATTTTTATGGTGTTTTTGTTTTCGTGATGTTTAATTAGAACTTGAATTTGATTTTGTTCTTGAAAATGTTTGTTTGTTTGTTTGTGTATATTGTATATGGGTTTACGTCGTTTTTTTAAGTATTGTTTTTGTTAGTTTGTATAGATTATAGGGTGTGCTTAGGTTAGGTTAGTTCATACTAGTAGCTATGCCTCGTTATAATCCCGTGGCAATTACTGTGGCGGGGCCTTTGACCTCTGTAGGTTTTTGGCTCCCAGATGTCCTTGTCCAGTCGTTGTTTCATCGTTATCTCCTTTATTCACTTTTCTTCAACATCGGTAACTTTTAATTTGTGGTTGTGAGCATAGCCGCCTTGTATTGGGTTAAGATGACGGTGTAAATGAGGTAAAATCACATCCCAACCAAACTTGGCTCTCATATTAAACACATGTTGAAATAACCAGCAACTCTCGCGTCACCAAATCACCTGAGTTAAAATGTGATCTCAGACTAAACCTATGTTAAAATAACTTGAGACGCAGACGTAATTTAGACCCCTGGTAAGAAAGGTTTGCTTTAATATCAACGCCAAGGGAATGTCCAACGCCGTCTCGTATGTTAATCCCGTTGAAAACATTAATGTCTCCACTTGGACTTTTACTTCTTCTCCTGACATCTGGGAACATTGGTTTGTTTGTCCTCGGAAATATTTATTATTATGAACTTATTTTTATCACGTGGGGGGTGACGCTGCATACATAATCGAGGGTAAACCCAGGCGGTAACAAAGGGGAGACGAGTGGGGGAGTGGGAGAGAGAGTGTGTCTTATGAAGGTGCTGAATCCTAACAAACAAAAACCACAACGGTAAAACTGACAAATCTGTAGAAAGCTGAGAGTCTTCAGTGTGACCTCAGTGCGGGAAATAAACCTGCCATGGACACGGGGTTCCTCACAGCATGCAAATGAAGGTTGAGTGTGGTGGGTGACCTTGGAGGCTGGCGGGAGTGTGATGACGTGCGACCATTACCGCTGCGGGAGGCGTCGTGGGGAGGTCTTGCCACACCCTGACGGTGGTGGTGGTGTTGATCGCTTGCCTCTAGCACCTGCCACTAGGCTAGGTGTTGGTGGTGCTGAAGGTTGATTGTGAAGTAAAAGAATTCGTGTTTATCTTTTACGACTGTGGTAATGGTGGTGGGAGACGATTAAGATAGCGTACAATGGAAGCAGCAAGAAAATTATCACGTACTATTTAGGTACAGGTACTGGGGTAGCCTATCTATGTCAGAATTAAGGATGAAAACGATTGTCAGATCACCGTTCAAAATATTACAGCACATGTGTTTAAAAAATTATTTCCATCAGCATTTGCTTCGCTCTTACCATAAATGTTTTCCAAGTTGCCCGAGACATAAGTGTGTTCTGAAACGGGATAGATTATGTTGTAGTCTGGACGTCTCTGGGCGGTGGTTGAATGCGTTTGGCCGAGAGGGTCTGTGTCTTGCGGTTGACAATATTGTAAGTAATGTTGGGAATTGTTAACTCTTATAAGCTGCAGTTTAAGCTTCTGAGGACGACGGTTTAAGCTGTAACTCGAACCCAGTAAGGTCGACATAAAGCTATATTCCTTTAAGAGGTTGCGCCACTCTTACAACCATTAATAATAACAGAAATAATAATAATAATAATAATAATAATGGGAAGCATAGTAGTGGTTGTAAAGACGTCACTGAGTAGACTACATGGTGGTGTAATTCGAAGCTTAGGAACGTGTATTGGTCTTGTCATGAGGTTGTTTGGTCACGGTGTAATGTATAGCTGTCAAAGGTGGCGGGGGGAGGGGGGAGTCCTAGCTTGGCTTTCACATTGGCCACTTTAATCCGACACAAGACCTTTGGCCACTTTAATCTGACACATAACCATTGGCCACTTTAATCTAACACCTGACCATTGGCCACTTTAATCTGACACCTAACTACCTGATGCTCCCAACCAATATGCGGTGACTGCCTGCCTGGTCCCTTAACTATTAAACACTTACTGTTCGAGTGTCTTAGTCTAGAGGCCCTTATGTCATATCTCCAGGAACCAAGGAAGGGATTGTTGCTACCGCCTGTCCTTGGTTCAGGGAGCAGATGTGTAATGTCCACCAGAGTATTTTTGTAAAGATTATTGGAGTATATTTGTTATAATAATTTAGTATAGTTACAGTTGTATGGGTGTATTTTATTTATGTATACTTATGTTATATTAAATAAAAAAATCATCTTTATTGAATACGGTGAAACGGGACTTAAACTTATGACGCCACGTGTATTGTGTACAGATCAGTCAGTCAGTTATGGTGACTGAAGTGGGGTTTTTTATAATTAAAAAAATGAAACCAATTAGAAAATGAAACTGCAAAAAAATGGTAGTTTCCCAAAGTATAGAGATATATTGTGATGTATTTAAATTATGAAGGAGGGACAGATGCTGTACAGTAATCTCTGTACTTCCTTACATACAAGTGTTGTGATGCGGTTAAGTAGTTCCTGATCCCGGGCGGTTTAGGAGGCTTGGGTTATGGGAGGGAGGTTTGGTAGTGTAAGGGAAGGGAGGAGGATAAGGTGGTAGTGATATAGGGGCTAGAGGTGGGGGAAGGGGGGGTGTTGGCGCCGCCCCCTGGCCACCAGCCAACGCCACGGGGGCACCACCACCACACGTCTTCCCCCTACTCCTCTCCTCTCTGCCGGGAACATATTCATTCCCAGTTGCTTTCTCGTATATTTACTGGATTTCCCTTTCATGTTTTAGAAAATCGGAATAAACTCTTGAGACTGACTCTTAAGCGAATGCCTTTATAGTGTGCTCCGAAGGTCTAGACAGACGCGTAGGAACACTCGAGGAGTCCCCAGTACCGGTACAGTGTGTCGTGTTGGGTGTAACATGTTATCCAGCACCTGGCATTACCGCGGTAAATAATCGAGTGTACTTTTCAGGGTCACGTTGATCAATTTGTTAGCAGAAACCAGTTGAGAGCGACCCAAGGACTGTTGGGCGGCGTAAGATGTGTAGATCTGGATAATTCTTGTGATTTGTACTTTCAAAATATTAGGCTACGAGTGACTGAACATTTGATGTACTGTACCTTGTTGGGTGTTAGTGGCGGCCTTGAGGTGATGGCTCGGTGGTGTAGCGGCCACAACGTGTTCTGGCCCTAGTTTTGACACCCCCTGGCCACCCACTGACAACACTGCCAGTCGTCCAGGTGGTGGCAGAGGTCAGCATGCAGCGGCGCGCCCCCAGTGTGGGTGCAGTAGTAGATAAACTGGAGCACGTGTGTGAGGTGACATGTGTGTGGCAGGCGGCGCCCTCATCCACGCCCACCGTCACGTGACCCCAACACCCGCCCACCTCCACCACCATGACCCTCATTGTGCCGCGAGGTGAGGACGCACTCTCCTCCACCAGTGATGACGCCGACAGCGGGTGCCTGGCGAGCTCCCCCGACGAAACCAAGGAGGAGGGGCGTCACCTGAGTGAAGGCTACCTTGCCACTCAGCTCAAGCGGCTGTCCCTGCCTGATATCGTGCCGTGTCAGGGCGTGGAAGGAAAGGATACACCCACGCCCACCGCGCCCGCACGTGTCCACACAGTGAGTTTACATAAACCAAATATGCAATACCAGGGTGGTCTGGGTGGAACAGAGCCAGACCAGAACGGAAGTAGCGAATGTGATAAGGACCAGGTTATACTGGATCGGGCGGACGGTATCAATGGTGAAACAGGAACTCAGTGTGAGGGAGTGACGCACGAGTGTCGAATCAGCGTAGACTCGATTCCGAACTGTGTTGACGCTTGTGAGAGAGAACTGGAGGGCCCCGCCACCATCACGGCCCCGGAGGTTCTTCAAGCATCGCAAATAAACAATCAGTGTCGCGAGCCTCACGTGCCAAGTGAATGCATTCCTCACACAGACCAAACAAACAGCCCACTGGTGCAGGCAGCGGCGTGCAGCACCAACACCACCACCAACAGTTCGACGAGTCTTGACGTCTCTGAAACATTAGACACAACCCATCCCCCAACCAGGGAAAAGTGGAGTGAAAATGGAGATGTGAATGGAGGTTGTGGTGGTGTTTTGAGGGCCCCCCGTAGTGGTAATGACGGAGGGGTTAATGATGATGTGCGAGCTTCTGAAGTTAATGGCGACGCAGGTAATAATTTAGGTGGCGAACATAACTCTTGTGGCACACGAGAAAGGGAAAGTAGCACAGGTAATACCGGTGAAGGTCATAGTGACAAACATAACGCGAAAAACACCTTAATCATAGGAATTGACACGAGTGATGATAAATCTATACAAAGTGAAAGTAAATCCGAAGGAATGGTGAAGTGTAATTTACGAGAAAACGAAGAGTTAATGAGAAATGACAAAGAAATTGATATTTACGCAGCTAAGCAGAAAATTAACATTCTTCGGCAGAATTTTCTTTCTTCGCTGTCTGCAGATGATGATGATGGCTGTGATCCTCCTGACTTTGTGGTTTTGCCTCATCACGTTGATAGTCAGTTCCAAGGGGAGGAGGAAGACTCAGTCCTCGAGAGAAGAAGCAAAAGTGAGGAGGGAGTTGAGGGACTCGTTGAGGCAATAAAGATCCCGGGCTGTGAGAGCGACGGCGCTAATGTGGGTGATTTACAGCAGGAAGCCGTGAACAAGAGGGCGGAGGTGGTGGAGGCAGGTGCCGGGGTTGAGCCAGCTAGTGCTACTGCTCCTGCTGTGTCGGCCGTGACGGTACACCTCTCACACCACCGTCCTGGAACATCTAGTCTGGAAAAAGAACACCATGGGAACACCCCCCTGGACGACGTTCCCATCGCGAACGTGGGACCAGCGGGGAAGGTGAGTGTCGAATCACATCTAATGTTGACGACAGACAATTCCAAAACAAGATCCGTGGAACCAGACACCCCAGGGAGTATTCAGATCGCCACACAAGACGTTAAAGTTTCCCCCGGTGTGTCGATGGCCCCTGGGAGTGGGAACATGAGGCTCGGGTGTGATATTACAGCCGGGGGCTCACTGGAAGGTAGTGGTGACACGGTTAACTCCAGCTCTGTGAACCCCCTCCACACCACCCCACCTCCTGTGCCCCAGCTGCCACCCACTCCACCATGTTCCCCACCCACACCCTCTTCTCAACACTTCTCCACTCCACACACTGAAGAGGACCCTAATCTACAGACCACTTGCTTGAAAGGTCAATCTGTAAATTTAGTTAATCTGTTGATGCATCAGTCCAGGAAACATAAACGCTTACATAGATTACGACCTCCTGATATCCAAGTGTGTTCTTCCATAAACAACAACTTGCAGCACGAAGGAGGGGACGAGGCGGAGTGGCAGGCGGGGAGTGACTGTGAGACGCACTTGCTTCACTCGACGCCGCCGCCACCCGCGCAACCGCCCAGGCAACATGGAAATCCACACGTGCAGCGCCTCGCCGCCAACGCTCATTGCGGAACGGAGGACCAGTTGTGTCACCACCCTCCGCAGTCACTCGAGGGAAGCCCAGGCGACGACCAGCAGTCTAAGGGCACGGAGGGAGACACACAGGGACAGCAATCTGACACATCCAACAGCAATGGGTGTGGCAGTTACCTCGTAATCCCATTATCCGGAGAGCCACCCTCCCTAGCTGACGTTGCTGGCGGGCCAACCAGATACAATAGTCGAGTGGAAAAATGTCCAGATGAAAGTGTGCATGTTAATGAAAGCGTCATTGTGTCAGGACCCGCAGTGACCAGGGCGGGGCAGAATGCCAAACACTTAATAAACTTTACACCAAACTCTCTTGGTGGTGGAGTCGCTGTAGACAACCAAAGAACAGGACCAAGAGCTACCTCATCCTCAAGCAACTCTCAAGTAAATGGAGGAGTGACGCCGGCAACCAACTTACCTGATTGTGATAGTGGAGTGAGTGAGACGAAGAATGCGGTAGGTGGTGGTGGTGGTGGTGCTAGTGACAATGATAATGTTTTTGAAAGTGACTCTTGCTGTAGTGAGGGTTCGTGTTTGGACTATCTGAACTTTGAGCGTGGGAACAATGTTGATAGTGACAACGAATATGATATAGAACAGAAAAATAGGTTACGTGAAGCGTGTAAGGACATAGCGCGAGCTCTGAACGCCCTCCCTGCACCGATGCCTCAAGAAGACTCGGTTCCGGTTCGGGTGGCGAGCAAACCACCCAACCCGAGACTGCAGTACCGGGACCAAGAAGTGGAGGCTCACCTCTCGGACTCGGAGGGACAACCAGGGGTGGACAGGTTGCAGGTGAGTGTCCGGAGCACTGGCACGAGCACGGCTTCAGACGATGAACGCAGGAGTAGCTTCTACGATAACTGCGGCATGAACGGGGGCTCGTGTGATTGCGGTCACTGCCACACTAGTGATGTAGAGGATCACACCCGACCATCCAAGAGGCCTCCAGTGATCTTGGGTAAGTGGGAGGCAAAGAAGCACACCGAGAAGGACCGGCACAGCTGCGGCAGTGGGCAGGACACGAGTGATTATGAGCTGGAGGACGAGGGTTTCAGGACAGATGCTGGGGAAGGATGTCGTACTGATGAGTTTGATGCTGTCACCACGTCGGATGACAACGACTATGACGACGACTATTGCCAGACGGATGACTGCGGCGAGGAGTGTGATTACTGCAGTGGGGATGACGCCGAGGATGAAGGGGAGGACACGTGTTACTTCTGTAAGCACAATCAGAGTCTTAGTCCTGTCTGTAAACATCCGGGCGTCATAACAAACGGGATTCTCAAGTCGCTCAGTGTGCGACGGTCGCACGAGAAGGAGGCTGTACGAGTACCCCGCCAGAGGTCTCTGGCCCTGCAGGCCGCCATACAGCGTCGTCGACTCACGCGTCAGGGACTTGTAGCTATTCGAGAGTCCAGTATTACGAGTGACGAGCTTCCGGAGTCCGAGGAGGAACGTTCCAACGACGGAAGCAATTGTGACATTTCTAGTAGCTGGCGGTATGGTCTGTGTCGTGACATGACAGTGTCCAGAGACTCTACCCTCCGCAGTGTCCGTAGTGAAAAAAGCTCCTCGTCTTTACCAACGGTTAAAGAGAGACATAGGCATAAAGAAAAGTCTAACTCTCTACCTGGAGCGAATTCCCGGTCCTTAGCGAGTGAACTGACAGTGAGACAAGCACTAGGTAGTATGATGACTCTGAGACAGATCTCCACCTCTGAAGATGAGTCTGGCTCACATGGGTCCCTCCCTCGTCTGCCACCTCGTCCACCTCGCGCTCCTCGCATGCGGCCTCCTCTAACCCCCAGCCCACCGGGAGGGGGTGGTGCGCTGCCCCCTGCCTCCCCCAACAGCCCCCGTCCAGCCATGGGTGTGCAGAGTCTGCAGCAGCAGCAGCAGCGGTCACCGGGGACACCTCGAGCACTGCATGTCTCTGGTCTGCCTGTGGCGCCACGCACCGTGGCCCCCCGCAGCCCCAGCAACCCCAACCCTCCGTATGGTTTCCCGACGGCTGGGTCGGCCCTCCTGTGTCCTGGCAGCCCAGGACCCGCAGGACGGACCACGCCTTCCCCTGGGACCAGCGAGGGAGCTCCCCCGGCGTCTCCCCGCATCAATAGCCGGGCGGGGGCACTGGTCACCCGTAACTTCTCAATCAGCGATGACGAGGGCGGCGGGCGATGGACAGGCGGGAGGCGGCATGTGACCATCACGAGGCACGAGAGTGTGTACCGGGAGGTGGCCGAGAAGGGCTACCACCTGCTGCCCGGATCACCTGTCGACCCCTACTGGCTCACCTGGGTTAGTACACACACTCTCTTAATTATTATAACTCCCTATTAAATGTATATTTAGTTTCCCATGTATACAATGTATAGGTCTAGTCGTTTTTTTATCTCGACAATGACCAGTGTGAAGGCTGTATGGTCCTGTTGAGGTGATCTCACTCCTCCAGCAGGTGGTGGGTGAGTGTCCTGGGCCAACACAACCCTGAAACCTTTAAACAGCGACTCAACACAACCCTTCCATGTAAAGGCCAGCCACTTTATAGCACCGAACATTACCTACAAAATAGTATCAAAAATTGTCACTGAATTTAACAGTAAAAGTTTATAAAATTTGTTCTATAATTTGATAAATACATTACTCGACCCTCTGATACGGTAAGTAATTATTGTTGATTTTAATTCAATTTGTCATGTTAATGTATGTGTTATTAAGTCATTGCTGTTGAGAATACTATTGATTGTTTAAGCATCAGGTTGGGTTCATAAAGTCCATGGAAGATTCTGAGTGGAGGAGAAGGAAGGGGGGTGGGGGGTGCTGGAGGTAAGAGTGTAGGAGAGGGGGGGGCAATTTGGTGAAGAGGGGAAGGGAAGATAGGAGATGATAAAAGGGAAAGGTTGAGACAGGATGTGGGCGAGATAATGGTGTTGCAGGAGAGAGGAACAAAGATTGAGGAAGAGGATGGCTGGCAGAGAGAAGGAAGGAAGGAAGACATGTAAAGAGAAAGGGGGGTCAGGTATGAAAGGGAGAGGGGCAAAGGTTATGGAGAAAGGGGAAGGAAGTGTGGAAGGGAAGGAGCAGGAAGGATGTGAAAGAGAGGAAGAGGAAGGAGAGTGGATGAGGAAGGAGGGGGAGGTTAGAGAGAGGAAGAGGAAGGAGAGCGGCGGAGAGAGCAGATGGGAGGGAGGAGGGAGGAGGAGAATGGTGGTGGTAGGAGAGGAGGGAAGGGGAAGGTAGGAGGATGGGAGGGGGGGAGGAGCTAGCGACTCCATGATGAGGCACCATGATGGCGCCTCGTCAGGAAGGTGGAGTGAGGGAGGGGCGGTATAGAGAACCTCTGAACTGTGTGCGTATGGGTGGTGGTGGGTGTGTGACAATTACAGGTGTGCACTCCGACAGACACCCGCATATAGGCACACAAACGCAAATAAACTCACCTTTAAAAAAACAGTTTTACACCCTAGCGCATCTCTCTCTCTCTCTCTCTCTCGTTCATTTATCAGTCACTCCAGGCACACGTTCTTCGCACCCTCACACACGGACATGGTTTATGTGAACGTAAGAAGTTTTAAAACATTTGTCTCTCCAAACTTCTAAAATTTAATTCGTCCTCAAAACTTTAGAGAACCACACGTCTATTGTGTGCACAGAGCAGTTGAGTATCTTGTGTTTTGAGGTATGTATAATAATATGGGTCAGTAACGATGGGGGTAAATCAGAACACTCACACCTTGGGAGTATGAAACATCTTGTGGGGTTAGTCAGTCAATAGCTATAGTGAACGCTGCCGCTCCTCGATAATCAGATTCAATAGATTGTCAGAATAACTCGAATCCCACCCACCCACCCCACTTCCCCCCCTCCCCCCTCCTTCCTCTCACCCTCAACTTCCCCCCTCCTTCCTCTCACCCCCAACTAACCCAAGTTAAAATAGATACCAGATATTACCATCAGCAGTCGGAAAGATGAGCGTCCATGAAAATCACCAAACGTTGTATTTTTTCACCAACTGGAAAATAAAAAAAACTAACCTAACCAAAATAGTGATGGATGAGCTTGTCCATGGAGTGCCTGCCATTGTACCAGCAAGAGGGAGCAACAAGAAGAGAGGGAACAACACACCTCAAGCCGGTAAACAGCCCAAGAGTGTAGTAAACTTGTAACTGTGTTTAACTTATTTACATACCACATTCTTGCATACTTAATCATCCATAAAGTGGTTTAAATAGCACTAAGGAACTGTTTAAGAGACAATGTAAAGAATTTTGAGTAAATGTTTGTCTTAATCAAGTGTCCTTCAGATCTCCAAATACTCTTTAATGGTTTATACGATAATTATTTTTTTTATTGGAGGTTTGACAACGCGTCTTTAGTAAGGTCGTGTTCATTCTTGTTCCATTCTAGAGGAAAAAATAACGTAAGACTCTTTGAGAATCTTGCTCCTGGTCCACGTCTTGTAGCGAGCCCTTGTACTGGAGTTATGGATTATTAGTAAGAATATTTCATCATTAGTGTAGTAGAAAAACATAGTATGCTTTTGTTAGGAAGCCGACCCCTGCCCCCTCTCGTGACGTAGGCAGGGCTGAATAGACTATCGTGCGTCCGCCAGTGGTGTTACGGCGGCCTGGGGGATGTCTCTTACCAACAGTGACCTTGACCTATCACCAATTGACCTCATAACAAATAGAAAACCCGGTCTAGGGTACAAACATTACATACACTCAAGTTTATTTACAATTTGACCGACTTAACCAGCAGATATTGTGAGGTTGAATTGGCGGACAGACACACACACACAGACACACACACACACACCCACACACACACACACACCCACACACACACACCCCCACTCCCACACCCACCATTGTTTGAAAGTAAATGTAACAAGGTGCTGACAGTGGAAAGAGACTACTTCATATTGCGTTATTTCATCACAGTTCAGGTAATGATCATGAACTTAATTACAGGATTTTATAAGGAATGGTAGAAATAATGATAATATAACAGGCTTTTGTCTCGCCGTTCACAAGGGGGATGGGAATGGTGCTTGTTCTGCCAGTGTGTGTGTGTGACCAACTACCTGAAAGTTTGTAAACACAGTAACTCGAACAAATTACAATGTATCGGAATCAGAATTGTTTTGTAGGAGAATCCCAACATGATTTCTGACTGAGTTCGGTGATTATAATTTTGTGTTAGGATTGTTCAGTTTCACTTCAGCCTCTTGCTTTAAGCTGCTGCACGATGGGAGGATTTACCCGCCATCATTACCAACAGTTTAGTCCCTGTAGCCATTATGGGTCGGTGAACTTTGTGGGGTCGACAATTAAGTCATGAACTTAGATTTAAGGGTGACGTAAGTCCTCCCTGACCCTCGGCAACAGCCAACAATGATGTTTATCTGGAATTAAAAAAAAAAATTCAAAACTATTTGCCGTCACTCCCAACGCTTACTTGAGTAGTCATATAAAGGCCCCCTTGTGTTGTGTTTATCTGTTCATGTATACAATTTAATGTTACTTACTTCATCAACTATTACATATTTACTTGAAAACATAAATAGAAGGAAAAACCAATAATTCTTAAAAAACCTCGAGATTTTATTTTTTACTGGAGAAACTTGACAATTTCTGGTATGTATTGGGGACAGACAGCAGGGAGGTCTCCACAAATCAGACCTGGAGATTAAGTGTGTAAACAGGCAAGAGAGTTTAACTGTGTGTGGGCGTGAGGGAGGGAGGTGTGTGGGCGTGAGGGAGGGAAGGTGGCGAGGGAGGTGGTCTCACTTGCCACGCCCACATACACATTCATTGCATTTTCTCAGAATTCTAACATTATTACACTCACTCACGCACTCACATACTCACTCACTCACGCACTCACATACTCACTCACTCACGCACTCACTCACTCTAGTATATACCCACATATTTCTCGCCGCCACACCCACATACCTCCACTTACTCTCATTACACGCCCACACGCACACCCAAGCACCCATTCATGACAACCTCCCTCTATTCAGGAGATGACTCAGATCGGGTGATAAAATCTTCAGGAGTGTGTGTGTGTGTGTGTGTGTGTGTGTGTGTGTGTGTGTGTGTGTGTGTGTGTGTGTGTGTGTGTGTGTGTGTGTGTGTGTGTGTGTGTGTGTGTGTGCCTACGTGTTACACTTGTTTGTCCCTGTGTGTGTCTCTGTCTAAGTGTGTGTAAATAATACCACATCCTTTTACTTACCCAAATACCACTGTGATAAAATTGGGAGTTTGTATCAACAACACCTCAACGCAGATCGCTTAGTCTATCATTCATCCATATGTCTTGTTAGGTCGCTTAGTCGAATAGTGTGATAAGGAAGAGTAAAGAGGTAAATTTTCACTCTATACTTTATTTCTCCAAGTCTATAATTTTGTCTCGTGTGGGAGCGTGAAGTAGCGGCAAAAATTCGGATAGTTCGTTTGTTGTGTGACGTAACGCTGAAGTACAGAGGTGGATAGGTAACAAGAGCCTGGTGTAGGTGTTGTGTAAAACAGGTTATTGGAGGGTGGTGGTGTGGTGTGGTGTAGTGTGGTGGTAGGTGGGTGGTGAGGCCAAGTTTGTGATGTCATGGTTAAGCTAAGTCGTATTTCCAAAACCTCTGGTCTGGTGTGAACTTACCTCACAACAAGTTCCTCTGTGTAGTGTAAGCTTGGGATAAAATTGTCTTCCTCTGTAGTGTAAAGTTACCACACACACACAGACAGACCCATGTCGTGTGAGGTTACGACACGACAACTAAATGAGATTTTTTGATTGTGGGTTCCGTGTACACGTCTTGGGTAGAGAAATCCCCTATTGATAGTCGTGTGTGTGTGTGTGTGTGTGTGTGTGTGTGTGTGTGTGTGTGTGTGTGTGTGTTTGTAAACAATCAAAACGCTTTCAACATAACACACAAATCATCATGATGTATCGTATTTGCATAAAAAAAATATTCGAGTATGAAAATCTCGAGAATTCCTTTCCAAATGTGTAAGAGTTTTCAGCCATCTTGCAGCCCTGACGAAACTCTTGAGTGTGTGTGTGTGTGGGGAGGGAGGGACTGTGACGCCTTAATAGAACCTGGACATAGAAGAGGAGGCCCTGTGGCTCAAAGCGGCGTTAAATTTAGATACCAGAGGTAGTGAAGGTAGTCGTGGTTGAAGAGGAGGTGGGGAGGTTGAGGAAGAAGAGGTGGTGGAAGAGCAGGTGAAGGGGGTGGAGCAGGTAGAGGAGAGGGTGAGCAGGTAGAGTGGGTAGAGGAGAGGGTGGAGCAG